GGGGGTTGGGGGAGAAACATTTTAAGGAAAGTTCTAAAATAACAAGAAAAAATTGCTGATTCAATATAAAAGCTGTGAAGCACCGTTTCTAGCACAATATGGAGAAAGTTAAATGGGTAGAAGAAAATGCGCTCTAATGCGAAAATTCCAGTAATCAAATGCAGCGATTGTGACAATGAAGTTCTGAGCAATCTTTTTGATGTAGAAAATATACAGAATACAGTACAATTACAATGAATCTTGCCGAGAAAACGGAAATTTCCAGAAATCAGCGAAAAAATAACAATCTCATCAAACTTGCGCTTTTCAATCTTACAAACGCGAAATCGCTTCAGGACATTCTGCTGCCGTACCTCGACGGTTTCCCTTTACTTTTGAGGTCAATCGATAGATAAAAATAAGTTTACATCGCACTATTACTTTAGAAAACATTTAGTTGGTCATGATCTCCTATTGGCAAATAAAACTTTATTGATGAAGTTCACTACAGCTGTTGCTGGCTGTTCCGGTTCGAATTCAGCAAATACATGACATGCATTTTCCATGGAGGATGGCTAAAAACATTTTGAGTTTTTTGGAGGGTCTGGCAAACTTTTTCTTTAAAAATCAAATTTGCACTTTGCAGTCTTTTAATTTCAGTATAAAACCCAATCATTCACCAAAAATATAAGTATTTGTTGAATCCGATGAAAGTTGTGTTGCATTCTCATTTCGCATTTTGTTGTGATATGCAGAATTTTTCTAAACAAATAAGGGCTCACCTTTCTTGCAACGATAGCAAATAATCGAGCATTCTTGACACATGCATCGTGATACCCAATCACACAATAGTTATCGAATCTGGAATATATATTTTTGTGAGTGGCGTTCAATGTCCAAGCAAATTTGGAAGCTTAGGTTTCTCATGTCTAAACTGATTGGAGGCTTCGACTGAGCCATCGCCCAGAAAGCAGCCTATAAAACCTATTTATGGGCAAGATATTCAACCTCAAAGTCTCGCCCAGTAACATACTCGCAATAACCTGGGTCCTTAGGAAATACGGTCTGGGCAAGAGTTTAAAGTTGAATTTCTTGACCACGAATAAGATCTGAGGCGGAGCTTGCCATATTTGGTCCTAGCTAGTACAGAAATATAAAAAATGGTCGTTTTGGGCTTTCGATTCCTCAAACTACAGTGATACGAAGATACAGTAAGGGTCCGTGTTGGGACCGATTATCTTCTGCATGAATATTTTCGTACGTTCCAATAGTATGATAATTTCATGGGGTTCATCAATGGGGTTTACCCGCTCCGAAAAGATGAAAAACTCACTTTCGATCCGCTGGATCCATACCGGCAAAAATCACAGTGTTAACGGGGAAATGCCGACGGAAGAACACTTTTCGAGTGTTATCGGTGAGCGTTACGCCTTGTGAGGATACCTAGAACAAAAGCTTTGCCAAATTCGGAAGGTTCATTATAGCCATAAAAATTGAAGAGAAAAGCTTCTTTTGCACCTTGAAATGAACAGAAACAGGTCGAGATAGTCCTCGTT